GCTAATAACCAAAGCTATGATGTAATGGAGTGAAGAACGTCACACCATATGGAGGATGATAAGTTCGGAGATGCCAAAAGGGTTACAATCCTTGATAAGTCATAATTAGTTCTCAAAATAACAAAGGAATAAAATCCTTTCAAATTTATTAACTCTCAAAATTGTGTTCCCCTAAAATAAAATTAAACCGACCTTTAAATAGGTTAAACACGCTACTCCTAACCCTAAAAAGGACTCTACACTTCCTAGCCACCTAAGGAGGACATAAACAAACCCTAATGGACTTAAAAGAATACATAGATAATAAGGCTTAAAACATTGAGCCCAAAACTGATTTAATTAATTATTTCTATTTATAATTAAGTTGGGCTTAAAACATTGAGCCCAAATCTAACTTAATTAATTAGTTCTAATTTTAATCAAACTAGATATAAAAAATAAGCCTAATATGATTTAAGGAGCCTAATCTTAGATTTGAATCAGATTGACAAGTCTTGAATCTGCTTCCTCTTTTAAGATGAGGCCACAATACTCTTTTAGCCCCTTAGAAGTGCATTCTGCGAACACTCTTAAAGCGAGTCCATGGAGAGCTTTTTTAAGCTTCTTTCTCTTAGCTCTCATCATTAGAACATCTTTAATTTGTAATAGATCAAATCTTGGACTTGCAAAATCACCATCTTGAACCTCCCTTGAATATGCCACCTTGCTAGTCCATTTGGCTCCTTAGTTTCCATCAATAGAGCCTTGACTTTCTTTATTCTCATAATTTCCACTTTCCTCAAAAAGATTCATCCATGGATCTTCATCTTGATGCTCATCGTACTCCTTTGATTGGAGAACACTCATCCTTGAATCTTGTAATAACAAAGTATCAAAAACACGTACCCAACCTATAAAATACAAACAAATAATGGCAAAAACAAATATTTGATTTTGTTGCCATTTGTCTCCTCCAAAAGAACAAATTCAATAAATGGTATATTCTTTTAAACTTCCACAATCTTCTCATTGTCTTCCTCCTCTTGCACGACTACAAGATTATCAAACTCGTCCTTTTTTGGCTTTTCTTGTTGTTATGCCAAGTCTTCAATGAGCACGGACTCTTTTTTTTAATACCCTCTAACTTCTCTTCAATCATTAGTTCTCTTAAATTAAGATTGAATTTGGATCCCTTACCCTTTGGCTTGTAAACACCCTTGGTTAACTCTGTATCGGTAGTAGTATAGTCATTGTCATGGCTAAAAATTTGAGTGCTCTCAACACCCACAAAATCAACGGCAGCATTGTCATCTCTATGACCGAAAGTTTGAGTCCTCTCAACATTTTTTCCCTCGATTTCTTTTTCCATGCTCATTTAGTCCTCATAAATTGCTTAAGTGACAATGAAACAAGTGTTACTTTTCGTCCCCTCATTTCAAATGAATATTTGTTTCTAAACTCATCATGTGTCACTTTTCTAACAACTTGCTAAGGGTTTCCTAGAAAAATATGACTTGCGCTCATCGACACAACATCACACAAAACCTCACCCTTAGATCTCCCAATAGAAAAAGAAACAATCACTTATTTTATTCCTCAACTTCTCCACACTCATTTATCCATTACAATGTATATGGTCTAGGATATTCAATTATGGGAAAACTCAATTTTTTGACTAACTTACGACTAGCAACATGGACATAACCTCCCCCATCTATTATCAAATGACAAACCTTATTATTGATATCACATCGGGTATGAAAAATATTATCTCTCTATGCATCCTTCTCACTTTTTACTTATGTGCTTAAAGCACATATAATTACTAATAACTCACCATAAACATCATCATCAATAATCACTTCACTCTTTCTCTTAAGATTTTTATCTTTTGACATGTTTTAAAATCTTGCACGAAATTCTTAATAATAAAAAATCCTCACACACTTCCTCATGTGTTTTGCTCAAATTAATGACACTCAACACACATGTTTGCTCTCTTTTGGGTTTTTTCTTTAATATGCTTAAACTTTTCAGCCTTTTACCATTCTAACTCACTCTTTTGGTTCTTTCACAAACTAATCCCAACCACACAAGTACTAGCCAACCACATGTGACTCAATAACTTCACTTTCCTAGGATCGGATTTCGAACGGATTTGGGATAAGAAATTGACAAATCAATTCAAATAAGAATTTCAAGTTTTTAGATGCTAAAAATGATACTAAAACAAGCTTGAATTGAATTTACACAAGACAATAACAAATAAGACACAACAAGATAGGAACGAAACAAATCAAGCTTTTTTTTATAAATTAAAATTCATTCAATTTGGCCTAAAATGAAATTAACTACAAAGATACGAAATAGAAGAAAAGATAATGAAAAAGAATCTGATTTATATTGAAAAAAATTAACTACAAATTAGACTTTTTTTTTAATATATAAGACTCAATTTATCAAGCATAAGAACATGAGACTCAAATAAGAAAAGTACGACGGAATAACAAGGAAGACACAACAAAAAAAAAAAAAAAAACATGAAATAAAAAACACAAGGATTATGGATAATCAACTCGACTTTGCACAACCTAGGCTTTGATACCAACTAATGTGAACCCCATGTATAAAGACGAGAGACCCAAACACCTTTATTGATAGACAACCCTAAGAACGTGTCCAATCATATTATAATAAGCAAAACCCGAGCCATTGCCTATAAAGATGCAAGAACCCAAGCTATGATACAATGGAGTTAAGAACGCTACACCCTATGAAAGATGAGAGGTTAAGTGGTACCATAACGGTTGCAATCCTTAATAAGTTAGATTTAGTTTTCAAAAGAACAAAAGAAGAAAATCCTCTCAAATTTATTAACTCTTAAAATTATTGTGTTCCCCTAAAACAAAACTAAACTAGCCTTTAAATAGGCTAAACATACTACTCCTAACCCTAAAAGAACTCTACATGCTCTAGCCACCTCAAAAGAACAAAATAAACCCTAATGGACTTAAAAGAATACACAAATAATAGGACTTAAAATATTGAGTCAAAATTTAACTTAATTAATTAGTTCTAATTATAATTAAGTTGGGCTTAAAACATTAAGCTGAAATCGACTTAATTAATTACTTCAAATTTTAATTAAACTAGATATAAAAAATAGGCATAATATGATTTAAGGAGCCTAATCTTGGAATTGGATTAGATTGATAAGTCTTGGATCCCCCTCCTCTCTTAAGATGATGCCAAAATGCTCTCTTGATCCCTTAAAAGTGCATTTTGATCAACACTCTTCAATCAGCCCATAGAGAGCTTCTTTAAGCTTCTTAGTCCTAACTCTCATCATTATACCATCTTTAATTTGTACTAGATCAAATCTTGGACTTGCAAACTCGCCATCTTAGACCTTCCTTGAAGATGCCACCTTGCTAGTCCATTTGGCTCCTTGGTTTTCATCAATACAACCTTGACTTTCTTTATTCTCATCATTGAGACCAATCTTAAACTTGGATCAGATTAACAAGTACTAAATCCCCCTCCTCTCCTCAAATGGTGCCACAATGCTCTTTTGGACCCTTGGAAGTGCATTCTACCCAACACTCTTGAATCAACCCATGGAGAGCTTATTTAAGCTTCTTCCCCTTAGCTTTCATCATTAGACCATCTTTAATTTGTAATGGATTAAATCTTGGACTTGCAAAATCACCATTTTGGACCTCTCTTAAAGATGCCACCTTACTAGTCCATTTGGCTCTTTGATTTCCATCAATACATCATTGAATTTCTTCATTCTCATTAAGAAATATACTTTCCTTCAGCTACACAATCTAAAATAAGGTTCCCTTAGTGTGGTAGATTATGCTATCAATTTTGAAGAACTCATGTTAAGGTGTGATTTGAATGAGTTATAAGATTACAGATCACAAGAGTTTTATGAGGGTTAATAACTTACGTTGCAAACATAATGCAACTACAACACTATCGAATTTTTAACATATGGTCAAGTTAGCCATGAAGCTCGGAGAGACAATAAACACCATCTAGGTTGAGTGGTAGAGATTCTATTAGTAAGGGTATAGTATCCAATCTAAGTGGTTTGACTAATTCTTTGATGCCTAACTCAAGAGGAGTTTGACTAGGAGGAGAGACTTAGTCGAATGGAGCTAGAAATCCTACCGGGAAGAGTTCAACCACTAGACCTATATAGTGTTTCAAGTGCTAGAATATAAGGAATATTTCTTTGGAATTTCCTAACTTTAGAGTGGTGACCTTTATTGAGAAAGAAGGAATTTGGTCGAAAGATAACATTAAAGGTGACCTAACCAATAAGGGTGAATGAGAGACTTATGTTGATGATGGCATGCACATTAAGGGTGGAGGTTGTCATGGAGGTTTTTATCCATTCAACCTATTGAGGATGAAAAGGTTTTTAACCCAAAGGATGATTGGAGACAAGAGATTGTATTTCATTTACATTATCAAATGGATGGAACAGTTTGTCGGATGATCATTAATAGTGGCTCAACTAAGAACTTGATAGCCAAGACTCCAATTGACAAGTTAGATAGACCTATGGTTAAGCCTCTAAGGCCTTATGAGATATCATAGATTAATAAGGGTGGAGGTTCGAAGGTGACTCATAGATGTTTGGTTTTTGCTATCATGGATGTAGGTTATGTCGACTATATTTGGTATGATCTTGTTCTTATGACTATGATCAACATACTTTTAGGAAAGCTATGGAAATTTGATTGATGAGTCATCCTTGGTGGGTATAAAAACACCTACACTTTGAATTAATATGGAAAAAGTTATGTTTTAGTACATGTGACTAGAGAGCAATTGAAAACATGTAGATATCCTTATTCAATAAGTCATGAGACTTATATGATTGAGCTTGATTTTATTGAAGAGGTAAATGATTGTTTGTATGATAGTCCAATATATGATATCTATAATGATGATGATTTAATATTAAATATGTTATTGATATTGGATTAAATGAGAAGATTTCAATTATGCATCATGACATGGTTGAGCAAGATGACATGCTTAATGGTTTCAAGATGAATTATGGTGTGAATGAAGTTGCCATTAAGGGGAATGATTCTATCAAGAATAGGGCTACTATCACATATTTGTTAGAGGAAAAGACACATGATGAGGAGGTTATAAAAGGGGTAAAAAAGTTACCAAGATAAATTAGATTACTATCGAGAGAGTTCATGTTGTTGTTGAGAAGGAGGATTGTTTTTAAGCTATTGTTATAAACTAGAATTGAATCAGTTCAAAAGTGTTACTACCAAAAGGAGTGTAGGTGGTTAGGGAAAAACAAAGGCTATAAATAGTAATGAAGTTGCCAAGTTTGTTAAGAAAAATTCTAATGACAACCCTACTCGATTTAGAGAGCAAGGAATCGTAGATTTGGGTTTCTAGATTCCAAAGTAAAGTAACTTACAATAAGGAAGACATGGTGTAGGTTTGTGTGAAGAAGAAACATATTGTAAAAGGTAGATTTATCAAGTTTGACAAAGTGGATGGTCTATTTTGAATAAAGTGAAGAGTGGGTGAGCATTCATCCAAGGTTAGTCTATCCGGAGCTTCATCCATGTCAACCAAATTAAAAGAGATTAATTTTTCTCTTACTAAGAAGATGTCGAAGATGAAGACCAGATCTCTAGGTAGACTCTTCTCCAAACCTAAAACATAAAAGGAGTGTCTAAACTCCAACATGGTAGAAAGTTTCAAAGCCTTAAAAGGCCAAAACATTTTAGGTCATTTACCTATATTTTTTTATTCAATCTTTTAAATTTTGTTAGTTGATGTTTAAAGGAAAGGAAGAGCCTTTGATAATGTTGAATTGCTCAAATTAGAAAGAGGCCTTTATGAATATTGAAGATGACATATTAAGAATTCTAAATTAAGTTTATTTCCACAAATCCTAGTTGGTTTGGGTTGTCAAAAGTTATTTCAAAATCAAGTCAAGAAATTGTGAATCTATCAAACTTGAGTAATCATTGTTTGGTTAATTTTGGGAGTTAAGGTATGGGATTGTTGTGGATCTAAAGCTTAGTGAAAGAACACATATAGGCCCATAAATTTAATGAAGAATTGGGATCCAGAATAGTCTTCTACAAGTTTGAAACTAGTGTGAAATTTTCTATATAAATCTAGTCCGAAATAACATTGATTGAGGAAGTGAAAGAATCTTTATGGAAGTTTGTTTTCCTATTATGTAGAAATATATCTTATAGTAGTCTTATTTATTTAATGCTATATAATTATGTGGATCTATCTTATTAGACTAATTATAAAGTCCTTTAACTAAATATAGATTAAATAAGAGAGCCTTTTTTCTAATCTACCGTTGGGTTCAGCTAGGAGTAGGCTTTGTAGTCCTCTTATGCAAGTTTTACTAGGAGTGGATGGTCATTAGGAGTAGTATAAATAGTAATGGTTGTGCTACATTATATTGGCTTTTTCCTTTTTATATTTTATAAATACTTCTTTGTAAACACCTAAATATTTTGGCCTTGTTTTATTCTTAAATCATTGGTGAATTATTTTACATCTTTGAAAAGAGAATTTTTTTTTCGGATTGAGTAGCCATCATCAAGGGTTGTTATATGTTGAATTTGAGAGGTAATAACTCAACGTTATTTGAATAGCTTAATAATTTATTTATTTATTTTGTAAGTACCATTTATCTTTGCTTATGGATCTCAAGAGTGCATATTAGGACTTACATGTTTCAACTTTGTATTTGATTGAATTGATTGTTAAAAATAATCAAACCTAGTCTTTAGGCTTAAAGGATTTGACCTATATTAATTATGGGATTAGAATTTTTTGTTTGATTTGAAATTCTACAATTTATATCAATAAGACTTGATCGGAGGTTATCTAAAATTTAGTGACTATCGAATAAATGAGAGTAGAGTGGCACGAGCTTTAAAGTTTCTTAGGAATTAAGAATTATTTGGAACGGTGATTGCAATTAGTTCATTGCTAGGTTTATTTATGAGATAGGTGCATTTCTACTTGTCCTTATTATTGATTGTTCATTTTAGTCAAAAAGCCCGAGTAAAAGGTTCGACTTCTATTGATTCGTGCATTTCTTATATTTGTTAATGTAGCTTCGCAAGGTTTGGTGGTCTCTTAGTAAAATCGACACCACCTATCAACTATTATAATGTTTGGGTGATCTAAATCATCCTTATATTCTTTATAATCCACGACCTCTTTATTCCTCTTTTTTCTCTCTCTTCGACATCTTGAGTTCTAATTGATAGCTCTTTGAGCTTAACTACCTCTTTAGTTAAATCAATTTTTTTCATCATCTTCACTTGTCTCGTCAAAGTTGATTGTCTCCCCAAATGTTCTTTGTTAAGCGAGGTGATCTGTTGTAGGGTTTTTTCTCATGCCATATTTCTTGAATGGCTTCTTTCACCTATTTAGGAGTAGCTTTCTATAAAAGAATAAAAGAGGACTCATTAAAGTTTAGCATGAATTTGGTAAAGTTCACAATCCTTTTTTGTAGTGTAATAAAAAAAATCATATTGCTATACCTTAGTGGAAATCGTTATTAGCAAGTGCGTCTTTTCAATACTCGCCCTTTTAATTAGCACATCGACAACTTAGTTGGCTAAATCCTATTTATTCAAAAAGTAGTGAGAATCCAATTATGGCTAAGAATCTATGAATGGAGAAAACCTAGAACTCTAAAAAAGGAAAATAAAAAAGGAGAGAAAATAGAAAATAAACTTACTAATCAAGAAGTAGTGAGTAAGGATCTCATCCTCTAACTTGCATTAACCTTGAGTTATCTCAACAAGTGATACATGAACGATTTGATAGGTAATTCCGTACCAATTGCATCCCATGTAATTCCTAATCTCATTTGCATGATAACTCTTAGTCATATTACATCTTATGTGAATATCAATCTTAACCTATAAGTTTATTGGCTATTGAGTTATATCAACAAGCGTAACACCTCATTTCAAGTTAAACCCAACATTCGAGGACATCGTATGACTAATGATTTATTTCCCTCGATAAAGAAGTGAGCTTGAGTTATCTCAATAAGCTAGCAACGATCAAGAGAGTTCTCTCCTCATAACATTGGAAGGAAATTAACTTGATATTTTATTTGAAGGATTTAATTTAGTAGGTCTCATCCTTGCATGCATACTAGTCAATAATTGTATTACTCTTATCATGCATACTAACATTTATTTACATAATATTAACACATACTTCTCATGCATGACTCAAAGATTGGTGAATGGTAATGGATCTCTAATATTAACTCCCTCGAGCTATAAGGAGACTAGTGGGTCAAATAACTAGGTGAAAAATTATTACAAATTCTATGGGATTTTCTTCACTTCTTGGCTTCTTCTCCTTGCATCTATTCTAATTTCTATCTATTACTTTTATATTTATTTGAATAATAAATCTTGAGTTACATTCGAGAGAAGTAAGTTGAGAAGAGAAATACAATAGAGTAATAAAAAAGATAGGACATTCGAGCCCTATTTATCAAAAAATTACAAACATTCATTCCCATAAACTCAATCAAATTATCCATGTCATTCACCCATGCTTCGATACATAACATACTAATAAGACACATTTCATTCAAATTGTAATTATAAATGTATTGTTTTTGTCATTTTATAAATGTACCAAAACTTCTCTAAATTTCAATTTTAAGAATTTTCAAGCCTTGGGTCCACTTTGGGCTTCGATGTCCTAGCCTTCGGCCTTACTTGCTTATGCATGCCTAGCCTAGCATTAGCCTTAGGCTTGGCATGCTCACATGCACTTGGCCTACCATGGCAAGTGGCATTGAACACGTAAGCATACGGGCTACTACTTGGCATATGCGCGTGTCTAACATTACTTGCTTGGTACGTACATATGCCTAGCACACAATAGGCTTTAACGTGTATGCGCTCGGTGTATGCCTCATATGCTTTAGATATGTCATGGCTTGGCCTTAACTTTATCGAATGTCCAGCTCATGCCTACCATGTCACATGCTTAGGATGTAACTAGCCTACCACGTCACGTGGCTCGCACACGAATAGCTTTGGAGAGAACGCCTAACGTGATCTCGCTTAGTATGTAATTTCTTAGTGGGGATTTTGGCCTATCAAATATAACTACTTGTCCAGCAAGCTTTGCCTATCATATTTCTAGTGTACGACTACCTGTTCGATAAAGCCGGCCTATCGTGCATCTCACGCATGAGTGCTTGGCCAACTAGCCTTGCTTGTCGCGCAACTAACGTACGACCGCACGACATGTTGCCACCTTGTACAAGACTAACTAGCTAGTAGGCTTGTCCTATCGTGCACTCGGCGCACGGCCGGCGTAACCTTCGAGCACGTAAGCGGCTAGCCTACTTCGTATACGTGAACGCCAACATCCCACATTAGCCTTATGTCTCCCACTCGATTTAAGCTAAAATATCAATTTTAAATATATATAAAATAAAAAAAAATAAGATTTATAAGTAGGAAGAACTAATTCATATAGTTAATCATAATTAACAAAATATATAATCAAAAATTCGAGTGGAGGCTCCAATACCAATTGAAAGATCATAAATCCTATAGAGGTGTGAAATAAAACAAAAATTTTCTCCATTTAAAGGGCCTAAGATCATGCGATTAAATCAACTAATCATATATTCATAAATTAAAGCGATAAATAAGGAATTATCTCTTATAGCATAGATTTAAATTCTTTAGTAGGAAAAAAAGTCATCTAAATGTTCGACCTTTATTGAGAATCAACGCGAGTTCAAGAGCCCATAAAAGAAGCACTTAAAATTGGCATGGTGCTAGCTTCACCTTTTTTGACTTGTTTATTGTTTCATTTTAAAATCTAATCAAGGTAATTTTGTGACAACTCTAAGGGAGAAAGTGAAAATGGTGTGTGCTTAGGTTTTCGAAAGAAAACTATTTTCTCTTTTATTTTGCTTAATGTTGTGTGCCCTATAATTTTCTTTTTTGTGCTTGTTTGTTTTTTCTCTCATAAAAACATGTTACTTGTTGTCGCACCTCTCCTCCTATTTATAGGTGCGGTGTTTTCCTTCTCCTTCAAGGATAAGGAGGGGTGGCAATTAGTCCTAAAAAGGACTTTTGGTTATTGGTTCCTAATCCTCTAAGGATTAGGAGTTATCATGCATGTGGACTTTTTGATCTTTATCCAATAAGGTTCATGTTTATGCTCTCAATAAAATATCTTTCGGGTTTTTAATTAAACCTATTGGCCCAAACTATTTTGGCCGGATAAATTAGGTTAGATAATTCTAGAATGACCACATTAGAAAAAAAATTTCTCAAAATATCCTTAAACAAAAATTAGGAAACTATTATTTACTTTCAAATTTGGAACTCATTTTCAAATTAGGAAGTTGTTTT